TTTTTTTTTCAGGGTTGGAGCTGAACTCTGCAGGACTGTGGCTCTCTAGGACCGAACTTGCCTACCCCTGCTCTAGGTCTATGAGAAAGCTATACATCAATTCTATGCAGTGATGCCGCCGGATTATCTGGGCCAGAGCTCATCTCAGATAGTCAAAAAGACAGTGAAAATGTGTGCTGTACTCTGATCAGTCCACATTTCAACTTGTTTCCGGGAAAAATGGATTTTGAGTTCTCGGCATATGTGCGAAGGTACTATTAACATAGAGGCATATTTTGAGATTGTATAGAGACATACAGTATACTGCCATCAAGATGATGTTTTTCATGGGAAGTCCATGGTTATTATATCAAGACAATGCCAGCTTTCATTCTGCATGTGCTACAACAGCATGGTTTCGTAGACAGAGTGAATGTGCTAGACTGGCCAGCAGATCTGTCTCCTATTGAAAAAGTATGGCTCATCATGAAAAGGAGACTCAGACAACAACAATCACAGACTGCTGAGCTCTGTCCCAACTCTTTGCAGCCATCAAAATCAAAATTTGTTCATATTTACAAAATACATTCACGTTGGTCAGTGAAAACTTTTCTTTGTACTTTTGTCAATTAAATAAAAGTGAAAGAGAATGAACAAATCACATATTCTTGATTTTATTGCATTTTACAAAATGTCCCAACTTCTCTGGAATTGGTTGTATATATATATATATATATATATATATATATATATATATGAATATGAATATGAATATGGCATGAATCAGAGCTAAACATTTGCATATGTGACCCTGGACCATCGACCAGCTTTCCATTGATGGTTTGTTAGGATAGGACAACTATTTGAAAATCTGGAATCTAAATATTGAGAAAATCACCTTTAAAGTTGTCCATATGAAGTTCTTAGCAATACATATTACTAATCAATAATTACGTTTTGATATATTTACGGTAGGAAATTTACAAAATATCTTCATGGAACATGATCTTTACTTAATATCCTAATGATTTTTGGCATAAAAGAAAAATGGATAATTTTGACCCATACAATGTAGGGGAGACCGGGTATGGTTGTAATATGAGGAGAGTTGTAACAACACCATTTCCACCTATCAGGGATAATATAGGAGTCTCGTGATAATTTCATTATTTACCCACTTCCTCCCCGATCTTATATGAATGGTTGTCAAGGCTGTAAATAGATATATGCAGACTTTATAAAGAAACAAAATGATTTTGGTGTAAGTATCCGATTTTTTTTTTTTTTTTTTACCAAACCTCTATTTTGCTTAATACTTAAACTGTTGCAACAGATTAAATCATATAACTTACATTAGAATAAACTGTAGATTCTCAGGCAAAATGTGATGCATTTTTAAACTGCTAATTTCAAACCATTATGCTAACAGCAAACTAAACATTGGATGACAGGGGTGGGGTAAGTTAAGGGATAACACATTTTAGCATTCCGTTACATAGAACTGAGAACTTTCATGTTGTCTATATGGAGCTTTTTTGGCAGCTCAAAGCCAAAGGAAATGTGGGTAAAATGTGCCCTTATGCAGTTTCTGGATCCACCAAGCCTGCAATCTAGGGTTAAAAACATTGGTTTGAATTGTCACCATTGTGAATCTGATAGAGAAAATTCATACAAAGACACAATCTCACACACAAATTTACACAGTTTTTTGTTAGATCTACATATTCTTTACCTCGGTACACTGGAGTTGAATGTTCAGTAAGCATAAATACCATTAAGGAGCTTTGTTAGTAGTCTAATTTACACACACACACACGCACACACCGAACAGAAAGTGGATTGGAGATGTAGTCATTCGTAGAAAGTGCGACATTATTTTGTATTGTTCTTTTAGATTGTTTCAATAAACCTGTTTTTGAAGCAAACTTTATGAGGTGGCTGCTGTTTTTGCTTCTTTAGTCTAACAGTTACAACTTACCCCAGTATGTGTTACAACATACCCCGGCAGTGGGGTAGATTGTAACAAAGGCACTCCATGTATTTAACATCAACTTATAAGGGCTGTGATATTCTTGCTGAGGTTTGAATTGTTGCCTTTTGTAGTGAACAAATGTGGGTGCTTTGTATAAGTTTGAGCACTCTGTAACAAAAAGTTTTACAACCATACCCGGTCTCCCCCTACTGTTGGCTATTGCTACAAATATACCTGTGCTACTTATGACTGGTTTTGTGGTCCAGAGTCACATATATATGACATGTATATATTATGTTTACTGCTTTGTGGCTGCCTGCTGCAAAATTACAACTGCCAAATGTGGGTTAGGCTGCTTAATGCAGGCTGCCTGCCTCCCAACTATATTTGGGTAGATGTAGGTCAGCCTGAAAATGACGCTTCTCAGACGACGGTGATAAATTCATCCATATACAGCAATACAGCACCAGCGAGCCACGCCACCCGCCACGTGAGTTTGAGGGCGTCGCAGAAGCTGCTTGACGTCACCACCAGGCTGCCTCTGAGGCACGTGGAACTGTGCATGGCTCGTATTCACCACCAGTTTTGGAAAGTCCCACAGATTTTACAGCTCGTTTCAAAGAACCGATTCAGACATTCTTCAAGGTTTTCGCGTGAAAAACGTTTTTAAAGGGTTCATTAAAACTACGCAGTCACACATTACTGTACGTGTTATTTTGTGAATTTTTATTAATAATAAGGGTGCTAATAATCACATGAATATAACTGCATGTGATCTAGTTCATTCTGCTGCATGGGTCAAAATGGGTCATCCTTGTTTTTTTATGTGAATCTACATCAACACAACAAGAATGTGTCTTACTGCCCACAACACGATCGCACTCGTGTGTATTACAACAACAACAGGCGCGCTGCAACGTGACAGCAGATAAACATGTGCCGAGCGCCCTTGGCATTGGCCAATCAGCGAACACTTCGCGGTGAATGGGCGGGGTTACCCAATAGAATTCGTGGTTGTCTACGAGCACAGCCAATAGAATTCCTCGATGCAAGAGATTTGTGGACAGATTGGAAAGCACGTGTATTCGTGTGTGTCTGGTGTCTTGAGGAAACAAATCTCTAGCACACTGTAGCAGCGCAATGTCAGTGGAGTGGACCCACTACATTCCGTCGACTTCATAAGATCAGGAATACATTGCAATACTCTTCCGACGTATGACGCTTTTGTCGTCTTGTTCAAGAGAAACGGAACAGTAAAATCTACAAGGTAAGGCCAGCACTGAGATGAGTCTGAACCTCTTATACTTCTGACGGCCGTTAAGTTACATTTCTATTCACGTTTACAATGTTACATATGTCCAAGAGAAGGTGCTGATTTGGATGCATTTTAAGCGCTAATCGATTAGCCATTGACCGTTGCATCATACCATCATACTAATGTTTTAAAACGGCTTATTTAATTTCCATGCTTTGCTTTAAGATTATCCACATTTTTGGTGACCTAGCTTTGTGCATACAGGTCAAGTGAAACGCACATGCATACATGGGGCAAGCACAGTGTGTTCTTTGTGAGTACTTCATCAGACTCCCCCAAAATCCATGTTAAAAGAAAGAAGAAAGTTACATTAGTAAATTGGTACTTTTGCGTTACTTTTAAAATCTGGACAGGGCTTGCTTGTTTGTTTTTAAAATAAAAAAGTTATATTTTTGGCAAATATAAAAGCCTTTGCACACCAAAAGTGAAATGAATAAGCCTCAGGCTGAAGGGAAAGTACATTTACGTCCGTACATTAGAATGCAGAAGAAGAAATTCAACACTTTTTGCTTATTAGTACGGTTGAACTGGATCATCGAAGGTCAGAAGCAAAGACATTGGTTAATAGAATGGGATTAAATACATAAGGATATTTGTGTTGTTTAACATTTAATTATTGCAGGTTTGCGTCATATTCTGAGTTGCATTATTTTTATTCATTTACTGAATCTGTGTTTTTTTGTGTGAGTGAGATGAATTAATGCATATTCATATTTATTTTAGAAGTACAGTAACATCTGATTTCTCCCAACATGGGGACAGGAGAGCTGTCAGTCAATAAATTGGAAACAAAAAAAGTAACTTGCGTTACTTATTTGAAAAAGTAACTCAGATATT